GTGAGGTAAAAAGAGGGTCACCTCGCTGGAGGCGATGTAGTGCCACCTGGTGGACGTCGGGCTGCAGAGCTCCCCGACCTCCAGCTCGTAGGAGGACTTGTTGAGCAGAGTGAAGAACGGACTCATGGTGACGATCCGCGTCAGGTTAGTGCTGCTCATCTGGATGCTGACGCCCACCTGAACAGAACCACAGTATTCTACACGGAACCACAAAGGTTGAGGAGATCTGAAGGCGGGGTTTAGTTACCAGGAAGTCCATGTTGCTGGCGGGGCAGCGGACGCATCCATAACTTCCCACTGCGTCTGGAGAGAAGGCCTCGGACCACGAGCTGGTGGACACGCTCAGCTGGAGCTGCAGAACCACAACAACATCACATGTTCCTCACTAATGAAGAGGTTCTATAGATCCAGCTGGTGGACACGCTCAGCTGGAGCTGCAGAACCACAACAACATCACATGTTCCTCACTAATGAAGAGGTTCTATAGATCCAGCTGGTGGACACGCTCAGCTGGAGCTGCAGAACCACAACAACATCACATGTTCCTCACTAATGAAGAGGTTCTATAGATCCAGCTGGTGGACACGCTCAGCTGGAGCTGGAGAACCACAACAACATCACTGACGTTCCTCACTAATGAAGAGGTTCTATAGATCCAGCTGGTGGACACGCTCAGCTGGAGCTGGAGAACCACAACAACATCACTGACGTTCCTCACTAATGAAGAGGTTCTATAGATCCAGCTGGTGGACACGCTCAGCTGGAGCTGGAGAACCACAACAACATCACTGACGTTCCGCACTAATGAAGAGGTTCTTTAGTCCAGATGTTCCTCACTAATGAAGAGGTTCTATGAAGAGGTAGTCCAGATGTTCCTCACTAATGAAGAGGTTCTATGAAGAGGTAGTCCAGATGTTCCTCACTAATGAAGAGGTTATATAGACCAGATGTTCCTCACTAATGAAGAGGTTATTTAGTCCAGATGTTCCTCACTAATGAAGAGGTTCTATGAAGAGGTAGTCCAGATGTTCCTCACTAATGAAGAGGTTATATAGACCAGATGTTCCTCACTAATAAAGAGGTAGTCCAGATGTTCCTCACTAATGAAGAGGTTCTATGGAGAGGTAGTCCAGATGTTCCTCACTAATGAAGAGGTTATATAGACCAGATGTTCCTCACTAATGAAGAGGTTATATAGACCAGATGTTCCTCACTAATGAAGAGGTTATATAGACCAGATGTTCCTCACTAATAAAGAGGTAGTCCAGATGTTCCTCACTAATAAAGAGGTTATTTAGTCCAGATGTTCCTCACTAATGAAGAGGTTATATAGACCAGATGTTCCTCACTAATAAAGAGGTAGTCCAGATGTTCCTCACTAATGAAGAGGTTATATCGACCAGATGTTCCTCACTAATAAAGAGGTAGTCCAGATGTTCCTCACTAATGAAGAGGTTCTATGGAGAGATAGTCCATATGTTCCTCACCTTGCTCTTGCTGAAGAAGTTCTTCTTCCTGAAGGAGAACAGCACAATGTCCTGGTGTTCCGCGGGGTGTTTGACGGTCAAGTTCTCGGCCCGGTACTGCAGAACCCTGGAGGTCTTGTTGATGATCCAGTACGGGCTGAAGAGCGCCAGCAGCAGGCGGCCTGAGGTTCTGTTCACGTGCACGCTCAGGTCCACCGTCACGCTGCTGTCCGAGTCGCAGGCCAGAACCACAGAGAAGAACTCGGGAGCTTCCTGGAGGATCCGGATGTGTCCGTGCCAGTCGCGGCCCTGGTAGCTCATCAGAACCAGAGACAGGATCTCCCCGGAGACCCGAGCGTTCAGGAGGTCCGCGGTGCTGCCTGCAGGGAGCTCGTAGGAGTCTGCAGAGTTCTGAGGAGGAACCACCAGGTCAGAACCCATCTGAGGGCCTTCAGGGTTTACACTCATTCACAGTCTAACACTCCTAACATCATCTGCTCTATTTTTATTGTTCTTAAATGTGTTTTCTTGTTGATGTCTTATATGATTTGAATATCTTTGGAGACTACATGATGTTTACATGCTGTAGTGTTCTTGAATCCCCTGTATGGCCCTCACCTCCATCATGTAGCGCACTCTGAAGGGCAGCAGGTTCCTCAGGGTGGCCCCAGGGTGCAGGTGCAGGATGTAGGCGGGGTCCCAGTCCTCCTCCCCGTGGCTACTGATGTGCTGCAGGTCGTCAGGCAGAGCCACGGCCACCACCATCAGAGGCAGGCTGCCGTCCAGAGAGGGGCACTGGAGCAGAGAGGAGACCTCAAGGCTGCGGTGGATCTGCTCCTTCCAGCAGACGCAGGAGGAGGAGGGGCCGTACTGAGAGGAGAGGGGGCCGGCGGGGGCCACAAACAGCTGACACCTGGGGGGAGGGACAACCAAACAGCTGACACCTGGGAGGGGACAACATCAGCAGAAGAGCTGCCAGAGTTCAGAGTTCATATGAGTGTGTGTGTGTGTGTGTGTGTGTGTGTGTGTGTGTGTGTGTGTGTGTGTGTGTGTGTGTGTGTGTGTGTGTGTGTGTGTGTGAGGTCATGTGATACCTGTATGTCTCCAGGTCGATGTGGAACTCTCTCTCTGGTTCCGCCTGTCCGACGCTCTTCAGGCTCCTGGAGGTGGGACAGAACTTCAGGACGGTGAACGGCACCGAGAAGTGATTCCTGATCTGAGACAAAAACACCCAGGAGACAACTGAACTCAACTGAAAAAAAGGTTTCTGGTGGTTCTAAGGTTTCTGGTTCTGTTTCTGGTGTTTCTACGGTTTCTGTTTCTGGTTCTGTTTCTGGTGTTTCTAAGGTTTCTGGTTCTGTTTCTGGTGTTTCTACGGTTTCTGTTTCTGGTTCTGTTTCTGGTGTTTCTACGGTTTCTGTTTCTGGTTCTGTTTCTGGTGTTTCTAAGGTTTCTGTTTCTGGTTCTGTTTCTGGTGTTTCTGTTTCTGGTTCTGTTTCTGGTGTTTCTACGGTTTCTGTTTCTGGTTCTGTTTCTGGTGTTTCTAAGGTTTCTGGTGTTTCTAAGGTTTATGATGTTTCTGGTGTTTCTTAGGTTTCTGATGTTTCTGTTTCTGGTGTTTCTAAGGTTTCTGTTTCTGGTGTTTCTAAGGTTTCTGATGTTTCTACGGTTTCTGGTTCTGTTTCTGGTGTTTCTACGGTTTCTGGTGTTTCTACGGTTTCTGTTTATGGTTCTGTTTCTGGTGTTTCTAAGGTTTCTGGTGTTTCTAATGTTTCTGGTGTTTCTAAGGTTTCTGGTGTTTCTGGTGTTTCTTAGGTTTCTGATGTTTCTGTTTCTGTTTCTGTTTCTGTTGTTTCTAAGTGTTCAGGTGTTTCTAGGGTTTCAGTTGTTTCTAAGGTTTCTGGTGTTTCTGTTTCCGGTGTTTCTGGTGTTTCTAATGTTTCTGGTGTTTCTAAGGTTTCTGGTGTTTCTGGTGTTTCTTAGGTTTCTGATGTTTCTGTTTCTGGTGTTTCTAAGGTTTCTGTTTCTGTTTCTGTTGTTTCTAAGTGTTCAGGTGTTTCTAGGGTTTCAGTTGTTTCTAAGGTTTCTGGTGTTTCTGTTTCCGGTGTTTCTGGTGTTTCTAAGGTTTCTGGTGTTTCTAAGGTTTCTGGTGTTTCTAAGGTTTATGATGTTTCTAAGGTTTATGATGTTTCTGGTGTTTCTAAGGTTTATGATGTTTCTGGTGTTTCTTAGGTTTCTGTTTCTGTTTCTGTTGTTTCTAAGGTTTCTGTTTCTGTTTCTGTTGTTTCTAAGTGTTCAGGTGTTTCTAGGGTTCAGTTGTTTCTAAGGTTTCTGGTGTTTCTGTTTCCGGTGTTTCTGGTGTTTCTAAGGTTTCTGGTGTTTCTAAGGTTTCTGGTGTTTCTAAGGTTTCTGTTGTTTCTAAGGTTTCTGGTGTTTCTAAGGTTTCTGGTGTTTCTGGTGTTTCTAAGGTTTCTGGTGTTTCTAAGGTTTCTGGTGTTTCTAAGGTTTATGATGTTTCTGGTGTTTCTTAGGTTTCTGTTGTTTCTAAGTGTTCATGTGTTTCTAGGGTTTCTGTTGTTTCTAAGTGTTCAGGTGTTTCTAGGGTTTCTGTTGTTTCTAAGGTTTCTGGTGTTTCTGTTTCCGGTGTTTCTGGTGTTTCTAAGGTTTCTGGTGTTTCTAAGGTTTCTGTTGTTTCTAAGGTTTCTGGTGTTTCTAAGGTTTCTGGTGTTTCTGGTGTTTCTAAGGTTTCTGGTGTTTCTAAGGTTTCTGGTGTTTCTAAGGTTTATGATGTTTCTGGTGTTTCTTAGGTTTCTGTTTCTGGTTCTGTTTCTGTTGTTTCTAAGTGTTCATGTGTTTCTAGGGTTTCTGTTGTTTCTAAGGTTTCTGGTGTTTCAGTTTCTGGTGTTTCTAAGGTTTCTGGTGTTTCTAAGGTTTCTGTTTCTGGTGTTTCTGTTTCTGGTGTTTCCGTTGTTTCTAAGATTTCTGTTTCTGGTGTTTCTAAGGTTTCTGTTTCTGGTGTTTCCGTTGTTTCTAAGGTTTCTGGTGTTTCTGTTTCTGGTGTTTCAGTTGTTTCTAAGGTTTCTGGTGTTTCAGTTTCTGGTGTTTCAGTTGTTTCTAAGGTTTCTGGTGTTTCAGTTTCTGGTGTTTCTAAGGTTTCTGTTTCTGGTGTTTCTAAGGTTTCTGGTGTTTCTAAGGTTTCTGGTGTTTATAAGGTTTCTGTTTCTGGTGTTTCTAAGGTTTCAGTTGTTTCTAAGGTTTATGGTGTTTATGGTGTTTCTGGTGTTTCTAAGGTTTCAGTTGTTTCTAAGATTTCTGGTGTTTCTAAGGTTTCTGGTGTTTCTAAGGTTTCTGGTGTTTCAGTTGTTTCTAAGGTTTCTGGTGTTTCTAAGGTTTCTGTTGTTTCTAAGGTTTCTGTTGTTTCTAAGGTTTCTGGTGTTTCTAAGGTTTCAGTTGTTTCTATGGTGTCTGGTGTTTACGGTGTTTCTAAGGTTTCAGGTGTTTCAAAGGTTTCTGGTGTTTCTGGTGTTTCTAAGGTTTCTGTTGTTTCTAAGGTTTCTGGTGTTTCAGTTGTTTCTAAGGTTTCTGTTGTTTCTAAGGTTTCTGTTGTTTCTAAGGTTTCTGGTGTTTAAGTTGTTTTCTAAGGTTTCTGGTGTTTCTAAGGTTTCTGGTGTTTCAGTTGTTTCTAAGGTTTCTGGTGTTTCTAAGGTTTCTGGTGTTTCTAAGGTTTCTGTTGTTTCTAAGGTTTCTGGTGTTTCAGTTGTTTCTAAGGTTTCGGTTGTTTCTAAGGTTTCTGGTGTTTCTAAGGTTTCAGTTGTTTCTATGGTTTCTGGTGTTTACGGTGTTTCTAAGGTTTCAGGTGTTTCAAAGGTTTCTGGTGTTTCTGGTGTTTCTAAGGTTTCAGGTGTTTCAGTTGTTTCTAAGGTTTCAGTTGTTTCTAAGGTTTCTGGTGTTTCAGTTGTTTCTAAGGTTTCTGTTGTTTCTAAGGTTTCTGGTGTTTCTAAGGTTTCTGGTGTTTCTGGTGTTTCTAAGGTTTCTGGTGTTTCTAAGGTTTCTGGTGTTTCTAAGGTTTATGATGTTTCTGGTGTTTCTTAGGTTTCTGTTTCTGGTTCTGTTTCTGTTGTTTCTAAGTGTTCATGTGTTTCTAGGGTTTCTGTTGTTTCTAAGGTTTCTGGTGTTTCAGTTTCTGGTGTTTCTAAGGTTTCTGGTGTTTCTAAGGTTTCTGTTTCTGGTGTTTCTGTTTCTGGTGTTTCCGTTGTTTCTAAGATTTCTGTTTCTGGTGTTTCTAAGGTTTCTGTTTCTGGTGTTTCAGTTGTTTCTAAGGTTTCTGGTGTTTCTGTTTCTGGTGTTTCAGTTGTTTCTAAGGTTTCTGGTGTTTCAGTTTCTGGTGTTTCTAAGGTTTCTGTTTCTGGTGTTTCTAAGGTTTCTGGTGTTTCTAAGGTTTCTGGTGTTTATAAGGTTTCTGTTTCTGGTGTTTCTAAGGTTTCAGTTGTTTCTAAGGTTTATGGTGTTTATGGTGTTTCTGGTGTTTCTGGTGTTTCTAAGGTTTCAGTTGTTTCTAAGATTTCTGGTGTTTCTAAGGTTTCTGGTGTTTCTAAGGTTTCTGGTGTTTCAGTTGTTTCTAAGGTTTCTGGTGTTTCTAAGGTTTCTGTTGTTTCTAAGGTTTCTGTTGTTTCTAAGGTTTCTGGTGTTTCTAAGGTTTCAGTTGTTTCTATGGTTTCTGGTGTTTCAGTTGTTTCTAAGGTTTCAGTTGTTTCTAAGGTTTCTGGTGTTTCAGTTGTTTCTAAGGTTTCTGTTGTTTCTAAGGTTTCTGTTGTTTCTAAGGTTTCTGGTGTTTAAGTTGTTTCTAAGGTTTCTGGTGTTTCTAAGGTTTCTGGTGTTTCAGTTGTTTCTAAGGTTTCTGGTGTTTCTAAGGTTTCTGGTGTTTCTAAGGTTTCTGTTGTTTCTAAGGTTTCTGTTGTTTCTAAGGTTTCTGGTGTTTCTAAGGTTTCTGTTGTTTCTAAGGTTTCTGGTGTTTCAGTTGTTTCTAAGGTTTCGGTTGTTTCTAAGGTTTCTGGTGTTTCTAAGGTTTCAGTTGTTTCTATGGTTTCTGGTGTTTCTAAGGTTTCAGTTGTTTCTAAGGTTTCAGTTGTTTCTAAGGTTTCTGGTGTTTCAGTTGTTTCTAAGGTTTCAGTTGTTTCTAAGGTTTCAGTTGTTTCCAAGGTTTCTGGTGTTTCAGTTGTTTCTAAGGTTTCAGGTGTTTCAGTTGTTTCTAAGGTTTCTGGTGTTTCTAAGGTTTCTGGTGTTTCAGTTGTTTCTAAGGTTTCAGTTGTTTCTAAGGTTTCTGGTGTTTCAGTTGTTTCTAAGGTTTCAGTTGTTTCTAAGGTTTCTGGTGTTTCCAAGTTTCTAAGGTTTCAGTTGTTTCTGGTGTTTCCAAGTTTCTAAGGTTTCAGTTGTTTCTAAGGTTTCAGTTGTTTCTAAGGTTTCAGTTGTTTCCAAGGTTTCTGGTGTTTCAGTTGTTTCTAAGGTTTCAGGTGTTTCAGTTGTTTCTAAGGTTTCTGGTGTTTCAGTTGTTTCTAAGGTTTCAGTTGTTTCTAAGGTTTCTGGTGTTTCAGTTGTTTCTAAGGTTTCAGTTGTTTCTAAGGTTTCTGGTGTTTCAGTTGTTTCTAAGGTTTCAGTTGTTTCTAAGGTTTCAGTTGTTTCTAAGGTTTCTGGTGTTTCCAAGTTTCTAAGGTTTCAGTTGTTTCTAAGGTTTCAGTTGTTTCTAAGGTTTCTGGTGTTTCAGTTGTTTCTAAGGTTTCAGTTGTTTCTAAGGTTTCAGGTGTTTCTAAGGTTTCTGGTGTTTCAGTTGTTTCTAAGGTTTCAGGTGTTTCTAAGGTTTCAGTTGTTTCTAAGGTTTCTGTTTCTGGTGTTTCTAAGGTTTCTGGTGTTTCAGTTGTTTCTAAGGTTTCAGGTGTTTCTAAGGTTTCAGTTGTTTCTAAGGTTTCTGGTGTTTCAGTTGTTTCTAAGGTTTCTGTTTCTGGTGTTTCTAAGGTTTCTGGTGTTTCAGTTGTTTCTAAGGTTTCAGGTGTTTCTAAGGTTTCAGGTGTTTCTAAGGTTTCAGTTGTTTCTAAGGTTTCAGTTGTTTCCAAGGTTTCTGGTGTTTCAGTTGTTTCTAAGGTTTCAGGTGTTTCAGTTGTTTCTAAGGTTTCTGGTGTTTCTAAGGTTTCTGGTGCTTCAGTTGTTTCTAAGGTTTCAGTTGTTTCTAAGGTTTCTGGTGTTTCAGTTGTTTCTAAGGTTTCAGGTGTTTCTAAGCTTTCTGGTGTTTCAGTTGTTTCTAAGGTTTCAGGTGTTTCTAAGCTTTCTGGTGTTTCAGTTGTTTCTAAGGTTTCAGTTGTTTCTAAGGTTTCTGGTGTTTCAGTTGTTTCTAAGGTTTCAGTTGTTTCTAAGGTTTCTAAGGTTTCTAAGGTTTCAGTTGTTTCTAAGGTTTCTGGTGTTTCCAAGTTTCTAAGGTTTCAGTTGTTTCTAAGGTTTCAGTTGTTTCTAAGGTTTCTGGTGTTTCAGTTGTTTCTAAGGTTTCAGTTGTTTCTAAGGTTTCTGGTGTTTCAGTTGTTTCTAAGGTTTCTGGTGTTTCAGTTGTTTCTAAGGTTTCAGTTGTTTCTAAGGTTTCTGGTGTTTCAGTTGTTTCTAAGGTTTCTGGTGTTTCTAAGGTTTCAGGTATTTCTAAGGTTTCTGTTGTTTCTAAGGTTTCAGTTGTTTCTAAGGTTTCAGTTGTTTCTAAGGTTTCTGGTGTTTCTAAGGTTTCTGGTGTTTCAGTTGTTTCTAAGGTTTCTGGTGTTTCTAAGGTTTCTGGTGTTTCAGTTGTTTCTAAGGTTTCAGGTGTTTCTAAGGTTTCTGGTGTTTCAGTTGTTTCTAAGGTTTCAGTTGTTTCTAAGGTTTCAGTTGTTTCTAAGGTTTCTGGTGTTTCAGTTGTTTCTAAGGTTTCAGGTGTTTCTAAGGTTTCTGTTGTTTCAGTTGTTTCTTAGGTTTCTGGTGTTTCAGTTGTTTCTAAGGTTTCTGGTATTTCAGTTGTTTCTAAGGTTTCTGGTGTTTCTAAGGTTTCAGGTATTTCTAAGGTTTCTGTTGTTTCTAAGGTTTCAGTTGTTTCTAAGGTTTCTGGTGTTTCAGTTGTTTCTAAGGTTTCTGGTGTTTCAGTTGTTTCTAAGGTTTCTGGTGTTTCAGTTGTTTCTAAGGTTTCAGGTGTTTCTAAGGTTTCTGTTGTTTCAGTTGTTTCTAAGGTTTCTGGTGTTTCAGTTGTTTCTAAGGTTTCTGGTGTTTCTAAGGTTTCTGGTGTTTCTAAGGTTTCTGGTGTTTCAGTTGTTTCTAAGGTTTCTGGTGTTTCAGTTGTTTCTAAGGTTTCAGGTATTTCTGATGTTTCTGTTTCTGGTGTTCATGGTGTTTCTGAGCTTCGTACCTGCAGCGGCGAGCGGACCGTGATGACCTTGTTTCCGTCGGCGGCGTCGATCTGCAGCAGCACGGACACGGCCTCCTGCAGAGAAGGACCGCGGACGTTGTAGAGACGGCGACCCGGTTTGTCCACAGCGATGTTCGAGATCTCGCTGAATCCAGAGGGCACTGCAGGGTCAGAGAGACAGCGGCCATCTTTAATCTCTATCCACTTCACTTCAGTCAGAGCATGAGCAGAAACACACTGACACGAGGACATGAGGACACAAGGACATGAAGACATGAGGACAGAAGGACATGAGGACACAAGGACATGAAGACATAAGGACATGAGGACACAAGGACATGAGGACATGAAGACATGACGACATGAGGACACAAGGACATGAGGACAGAAGGACATGAGGATACAAGGACATGAAGACATGAGGACAGAAGGACATGAGGACACAAGGACATGAAGACATGAAGACACAAGGACACGAGGACATGAGGACACAAGGACATGAGGACAGAAGGACATGAGGACACAAGGACATGAAGACATGAAGACACAAGGACATGAAGACATGAGGACATGAAGACATGAGGACAGAAGGACATGAGGACATGAAGACATGAAGACATGAGGACACAAGGACATGAAGACATGAGGACATGAAGACATGAGGACAGAAGGACATGAGGACAGGAGGACAGGAGGACATGAGGACAGGAGGACAGGAGGACATGAGGACAGGAGGACATGAGGACAGGAGGACATGAGGACAGGAGGACAGGAGGACATGAGGACATGAGGACAGGAGGACAGGAGGACAGGAGGACATGAGGACAGGAGGACAGGAGGACATGAGGACAGGAGGACATGAGGACAAAAGGACATGAGGACATGAAGACATGAAGACATGAGGACACAAGGACATGAGGACATGAAGACATGAAGACATGAGGACACAAGGACACGAGGACATGAAGACATGAGGACAGAAGGACATGAGGACACAAGGACATGAAGACATGAGGACACAAGGACACGAGGACATGAGGACACAAGGACACATGGACACAAGGACACGAGGACATCTTTGAGGGGGGGTCTCTGACCGATGGAGAGGCTGAACAGAGAGCTCTCCTGCCTCTGCAGAGCCGACAGCTTCCCCCGGGACGAGGTCCGGATCATGGACAGCTCCAGGTCCAGACTCTGGTCCACCGGCAGCTCCTGGAGCCTCCCCTGGCCTGGGGGGCCCCGGGGCCTCAGGGAGGGGCTGTGCTGCACCATGAGGGGGATCCCCAGGGAGTTCTTGAGGGTGAAGGGGGCCTTCTCCTTCAGGGAGGGGTCGAAGGAGGAGGAGGCGCCCTCTGAGAATGCCTGAACACAAACCAGACTGTCAGCTTCAGGATGGGATTTATTAACAAGGAATCTGCTTTGGTGTGAAAGGTCGAAAACAAAGACACCATTTCTTTAAGTACTATTATAAAACGTATTTTAAAGACTAATGTAAACATTTTTAAATAAAGACAATATTTACACAAAATATAAATATGTAAGAAACTGAGTAGTGTTAAATAGAATATGACCAATACTTTATTCAAAGTGTAGTGCTGTGCAAGTTCAATCAATCAATCAAAGGTTATTTATAAAGCCCAATATAACATATGTTACACCCCCCCAGTTAATGGAGAAACCCCCCAGTTAATGTGATAAAACCCCCAGTTAATGGAGAAACCCCCCAGTTAAATTGAGAAACCCCCAGTTAATGTTAGAAACCCCCAGTTAATGGGAGAAACCCCCAGTTAATGGAGAAACCCCCAGTTAATGAGAAACCCCCAGTTAATGGGAGAAACCCCCAGTTAATGAGAGAAACCCCCCAGTTAAATTGAGAAACCCCCAGTTAATGGGAGAAACCCCCCAGTTAATGAGAGAAACCCCCCAGTTAATGGAGAAACCCCCAGTTAATGAGATAAACCCCCCAGTTAAATTGAGAAACCCCCAGTTAATGGGAGAAACCCCCCAGTTAATGGGAGAAATCCCCAGTTAATGGGAGAAAACCCCCCAGTTAATGGGAGAAACCCCCAGTTAATGGGAGAAACCCCCCAGTTAATGAGAGAAACCCCCAGTTAATGAGAGAAACCCCCCAGTTAATGATAAACTGAAGAAACCTGGGGGAGAGCAACAGAGGAGGATCCCTCACTCAGGACGGACAGACGTGCAATAGATGTTGTGTGTAAATTGAAAAGATAATACATTTCCAACAAAGGTAGTCCAGATGCTGGAACATGCATGTGTCTATACATAAAAGAGGTGGTGTGGAGCAGAAATGCTGTGCAGGATTTACAGTATTGTAAAGAAGATACGGTTCACACGTGTACTGTAATGCAGGATGGTTCTATTAGAGCAGGCGGTACCTTGGCCAGGTTCTGCAGGACGCTCAGGCTGCTCTGGGACACCGTGACGTTCAGGGTGTCTTTGGAGGAAACACTGACGGCCAGGCGAGGTTCGGGCAGGATGACGAAATCGTCTCCGTGGACCGGACTCCTGTCCTGCAGCGGGTTGTTCTTCATCTGCAGGAACACACAACGTTACCCTACAAAATAAAAGACTTCACTGTTTACACTGGTTTTTCTGGACCAGCTGTGAGAGAGTTTGTGAACAGATGTTTTTATAAAGCTCAGCTGATATTACAACTTCAGATCACCAAGACTTTATGAACGAGTTATCCAAAAGTTTAGATGATGAAGTCTAAAAGGCTTTTACTTTGTTAAACATCAACTCTGAAGGCTTTGGTTTGTTTGGAAACAGACAGATAGGTGAAGTGAGTTTGAAGGTATATGCATGTTATGTCGTTTAAGTTCAATCAATCAATCAAAGTTTATATATAAAGCCCAATATCACAAATTCAAAGTCTCTGTGGACTTTACAGTTTGTACAGAATATCAATATGACCCCCTCTGTCCTTGGACCCTCACATTGGACAAGAAAACACTCCCAAAGAAACCACCCAGTTAATGGGAGAAACCCCCAGTTAATGGGAGAAACCCCCCAGTTAATGGAACAAACCCCCCAGTTAATGGGAGAAACCCCCCAGTTAATGGAAGAAACCCCCAGTTAATGGAACAAACCCCCCATTTAATGGAACAAACCCCCCATTTAATGGAAGAAACCCCCAGTTAATGGGAGAAACCCCCCAGTTAATGGGAGAAACCCCTCAGTTAATGGAACAAACCCCCAGTTAATGGAACAAACCCCCCAGTTAATGCAACAAACCCCCAGTTAATGGAACAAACCCCCCATTTAATGGAAGAAACCCCCAGTTAATGGGAGAAACCCCTCAGTTAATGGAACAAACCCCCAGTTAATGGAACAAACCCCCCAGTTAATGGGAGAAACCCCCCAGTTAATGGAACAAAACCCCCAGTTAATGGGAGAAACCCCTCAGTTAATGGAACAAACCCCCAGTTAAAGGAACAAAACCCCCCAGTTAATGGGAGAAACCCCCCAGTTAATGGAACAAACCCCAGAGTTAATGGGAGAAACCCCCCAGTTATTGGAACAAACCCCCCAGTTAATGTAAGAAACCCCCAGTTAATGGAACAAACCCCCCAGTTAAAGGAACAAACCCCCCAGTTAATGGGAGAAACCCCCCAGTTATTGGAACAAACCCCCCAGTTAATGTAAGAAACCCCCAGTTAAAGGAACAAACCCCCCAGTTAAAGGAACAAACCCCCCAGTTATTGGAACAAACCCCCCAGTTAATGTAAGAAACCCCCCAGTTAATGGAACAAACCCCCCAGTTAAAGGAACAAACCCACCAGTTAATGGGAGAAACCCCCCAGTTAATGGAACAAACCCCCCAGTTAATGGAACAAACCCCCAGTTAATGGAACAAACCCCCCAGTTAAAGGAACAAACCCCCCAGTTAATGGGAGAAACCCCCCAGTTATTGGAACAAACCCCCCAGTTAATGTAAGAAACCCCCAGTTAAAGGAACAAACCCCCCAGTTAAAGGAACAAACCCCCCAGTTATTGGAACAAACCCCCCAGTTAATGTAAGAAACCCCCCAGTTAATGGAACAAACCCCCCAGTTAAAGGAACAAACCCCCCAGTTAATGGGAGAAACCCCCCAGTTAATGGAAGAAACCCCAGAGTTAATGGGAGAAACCCCCCAGTTATTGGAACAAACCCCCCAGTTAATGTAAGAAACCCCCAGTTAATGGAACAAACCCCCCAGTTAAAGGAACAAACCCCCCAGTTAATGGTACAAACCCCCAGTTAAAGGAACAAACCCCCAGTTAATGGAACAAACCCCCCAGTTAATGGTACAAACCCCCAGTTAATGGAACAAACCCCCCAGTTAATGTGAGAAACCCCCAGTTAATGGAGACACCCCCAGTTAATGGGAGAAACCCCCCAGTTAATGGAACAAACCCCCAGTTAATGGAACAAACCCCCCCAGTTAATGTGAGAAACCCCCAGTTAATGGGAGAAGCCCCCCAGTTAATGGAACAAACCCCCCAGTTAATGGGAGAAACCCCCCAGTTAACGGAAGAAACCCCCAGTTAATGAGAGAAACCCCCCAGTTAATGGAACAAACCCCCCAGTTAATGTGAGAAACCCCCAGTTAATGGAGACACCCCCCAGTTAATTGGAGAAACCCCCCAGTTAATGGAACAAACCCCCAGTTAATGGAGAAACCCCCGAGTTAATGTGAGAAACCCCCAGTTAATGGGAGAAACCCCCAGTTAATGGAACAAACCCCCCAGTTAATGGAACAAACCCCCCAGTTAATGGAACAAACCCCCCAGTTAATGGGAGAAACCCCCAGTTAATGGGAGAAACCCCGCAGTTAATGTGAGAAACCCCCCAGTTAATGGAACAAACCCCCCAGTTAATGTGAGAAACCCCCCAGTTAATGGAACAAACCCCCCAGTTAATGGGAGAAACCCCCCAGTTAATGGAACAAACCCCCCAGTTAATGGGAGAAACCCCCCAGTTAATGTGAGAAACCTCAGGGAGATCAACAGAGGAGGATCCCTCTCAGGACGGACAGACTGCAACAGATATCGTGTGTAAATTAAAAAGATAATACATTTACAACAAAGGTAGTCCAGATGCTGGAACATGCATGTGTCTATAAATAATAAGATGTTAATGCTGCATTCATAATAAACCCGGCTCCACCTCCAGCTCCAGAGTCCACCTGCGTCTGCCTCCGTCCACGCGCTCGATCAGCGGCTCCCACACTGCGTGGATCTCATTGAAGTAGTTCACCTGCACACACCACAGCTTTATTAAAGAGTTTATTTAATATATATATATATATTAGTGATTCACTGATTTAAAGTCTCGTTCTGACCTCCAGCGTCATGTCGGCTCTCAGCTGCAGCAGGGAGGACCAGTTCTTGGCCGAGCCGCTGAAGGAGGACTCGGCGAGCAGAAGGGGGACGGTCCGGTGTCCGAAACCGGACTCCAGAGTCACCTGTACAACCTGTCCAGAGGAAACACAGCTCTGAAGCTTCACAATATGAGCTGAAAACTGCACCGTGTGGACAGGAAACACAGCTCTAAAACTTCACAATAGAGGCTTCTCAATACTCTAATTTCCCCTCCTCGACTCCTATCCTCGAGACTTAGTCCCGCCCACAGGAGATGCGAGCGGAGGACTCGAGGAGGGGAACCGAGGAGAGAGGAGGGGAACCGAGGAGAGAGGAGGGGAAGCAGCAGGCGGTTAGAGCAATGAGAACCTCTGAGCGGTCATTTTAAAGAGACGTCCATTAATGATGACAGGAGGCACAGCAGCAGAAATTACGGGCCAAAAGTTGTATTTACAAGTATTAAAAGTAAGCATAGGACACCAAACCAACTGAGACCCGTCTGTCCGCCGCATCTACGCACACACACACACACCTACACACTGTACCACACACACACCTACACACTGTACCACACACACCTACACACTGTACCACACACACCTACACACTGTACCACACACACCTACACACTGTACCACACACACCTACACACTGTACCACACACACACCTACACACTGTACCACACACACCTACACACTGTACCACACACACACCTACACACTGTACCACACACACCTACACACTGTACCACACACACCTACAGCTCCTAAAGCATATCATCAGGCTACAGCCGTTGTGTATTTTATTTTGTGAAGCACTAAATGGTTTTAGAAACATCTGGACTCTTAGTTTGTAGATATCTACTAAACTAAAGCAAAGAGAGTAGGCCTGTTATACTGAGTGATATATATGATACACACTGCTCTGCTTTCTGCACGGACCTCACAGCTGTTCTCTCTGGAAACATCGCGTCTCGATGAAAGCAGTTACTAAAATAATATCCAGGGGATGCATGCAGAGCTGAGATAAGTCCGGCCGTGCGTAACGCCTCCACCGTTCCCGGAAATGCATCCGCGGAGGAGCCGTGGAGGACCCATCAGTGTCTCCTCGGTTAGAGCTCCTCCAGAGAGCCTCCTCGATGCTCGATGCTCGGTCCTCGATGTGCATTTAGAGAAATTAGATGTCCTTCAACATGGCGCGCTGAAATCCATTTCCGGGTCACTACCGGAGGACCGAGGAGTCGAGGAGTCGAGGAAATTAGAGTATTGAGAAGCCTTCAATATGAGCTGAAAACTACACCGTGTGGACAGGAAACACAGCTCAAAAGTTTCACAATAAAAGCTGAAAACTGCAGCTCTAAAGTTTTCAAGCTGAAGATGACACTTCATCAACAGAAAAATATTTCTAGTAAATGTTCTGAATAAAAGCTGAAGCTGGAAACAGACCCTTTGTTTAAAGTTACCATGATAAAAGCTGAGGTCATCATGAACAATAATAATGGTAACGTTTCTGAAGACAGTTTTCAGAATAAGAGCTTAAGCTCTTTGTCAACAGGAAACTACTCTTTGTTGACCTTCAGAATAAGAGCTGAAGACGACTCTTTGTCAACAGGAAACTACTCTTTGTTGACCTTCAGAATAAGAGCTTAAGACGGCTCTGTGTCAACAGGAAACTACTCTTCGTTGACCTTCAGAATAAGAGCTTAAGACGGCTCTTTGTCAACAGGAAACTACTCTTTGTTGACCTTCAGAATAAGAGCTTAAGACGGCTCTTTGTCAACAGGAAACTACTCTTTGTTGACCTTCAGAATAAGAGCTGAAGACGACTCTTTGTCAACAGGAAACTACTCTTCGTTGACCTTCAGAATAAGAGCTTAAGACGGCTCTTTGTCAACAGGAAACTACTCTTTGTTGACCTTCAGAATAAGAGCTTAAGACGGCTCTTTGTCAACAGGAAACTACTCTTCGTTGACCTTCAGAATAAGAGCTTAAGACGGCTCTTTGTCAACAGGAAACTACTCTTTATTGACCTTAAGAATAAGAGCTGAAGACGGCTCTTTGTCAACAGGAAACTACTCTTTGTTGACCTTCAGAATAAGAGCTGAAGACGACTCTTTGTCAACAGGAAACTACTCTTTGTTGACCTTCAGAATAAGAGCTTAAGACGGCTCTTTGTCAACAGGAAACTACTCTTTGTTGACCTTCAGAATAAGAGCTTAAGACGGCTCTTTGTCAACAGGAAACTACTCTTTGTTGACCTTCAGAATAAGAGCTGAAGACGACTCTTTGTCAACAGGAAACTACTCTTGGTTGACCTTCAGAATAAGAGCTTAAGACGGCTCTGTGTCAACAGGAAACTACTCTTCGTTGACCTTCAGAATAAGAGCTTAAGACGGCTCTTTGTCAACAGGAAACTACTCTTTATTGACCTTAAGAATAAGAGCTGAAGACGGCTCTTTGTCAACAGGAAACTACTCTTTGTTGACCTTCAGAATAAGAGCTGAAGACGACTCTTTGTCAACAGGAAACTACTCTTTGTTGACCTTCAGAATAAGAGCTTAAGACGGCTCTTTGTCAACAGGAAACTACTCTTTGTTGACCTTCAGAATAAGAGCTTAAGACGGCTCTTTGTCAACAGGAAACTACTCTTTATTGACCTTCAGAATAAGAGCTGAAGACGACTCTTTGTCAACAGGAAACTACTCTTGGTTGACCTTCAGAATAAGAGCTTAAGACGGCTCTGTGTCAACAGGAAACTACTCTTCGTTGACCTTCAGAATAAGAGCTTAAGACGGCTCTTTGTCAACAGGAAACTACTCTTCGTTGACCTTCAGAATAAGAGCTGAAGACGGCTCTGTGTCAACAGGAAACTACTCTTCATTGACCTTCAGAATAAGAGCTTAAGACGGCTCTTTGTCAACAGGAAACTACTCTTCGTTGACCTTCAGAATAAGAGCTGAAGACGGCTCTTTGTCAACAGGAAACTACTCTTCGTTGACCTTCAGAATAAGAGCTGAAGACGGCTCTGTGTCAACAGGAAACTACTCTTGGTTGGTCTTCAGAATAAGAGCTGAAGACGACTCTTTGTCAACAGGAAACTACTCTTCGTTGACCTTCAGAATAAGAGCTGAAGACGGCTCTGTGTCAACAGGAAACTACTCTTGGTTGGTCTTCAGAATAAGAGCTGAAGACGGCTCTGTGTCAACAGGAAACTACTCTTGGTTGACCTTCAGAATAAGAGCTGAAGACGGCTCTGTGTCAACAGGAAACTACTCTTCGTTGACCTTCAGAATAAGAGCTGAAGACGGCTCTGTGTCAACAGGAAACTACTCTTGGTTGACCTTCAGAATAAGAGCTGAAGACGGCTCTGTGTCAACAGGAAACTAGTCTTCGTTGACCTTCAGAATAAGAGCTCACCTTGACCTCGGCGCTGAAGCTCTCTCCCTGCCGGCCCTGGTCTAGATCCCTGAGGCTCTCCGTTGCCTCGCTGGCCGAGTCCACTCCCAGGAACCAGAAGTTACAGCCGTAGATGTTCCGGACCGACCAAAGGTCCCCGACCTCCTGCGGCGCCGCGCCGTCATCATCAACACGCTGCCGCGCCGTCATGGCCGCCGTGATCGTCATCACCGTGTTCAGGATGAACGGGGAGATCTGCAGGAAGAGGGGTAACATGTGACTGTTGCTATCATGTGATCTGTGTGATCTCTGTGTATCATGTGATCTGTGGCTATCATGTGATCTGTGGCTATCATGTGATCTGTGGCTATCATGTGATCTGTGTGATCTCTGTGTATCATGTGATCTGTGGCTATCATGTGACCTGTGTGATCTCTGTGTATCATGTGATCTGTGTGATCTCTGTGTATCATGTGATCTCTGTGTATCATGTGATCTCTGTGTATCATGTGATCTGTGGCTATCATGTGACCTGTGTGATCTCTGTGTATCATGTGATCTGTGTGATCTCTGTGTATCATGTGATCTCTGTGTATCATGTGATCTCTGTGTATCATGTGATCTGTGGCTATCATGTGATCTGTGTGATCTCTGTGTATCATGTGATCTGTGGCTATCATGTGACCTGTGTGATCTCTGTGTATCATGTGATCTGTGGGTTATCATGTGACCTGTGTGATCTCTGTGTATCATGTGATCTCTGTGTATCATGTGATCTCTGTGTATCATGTGACCTGTGTGATCTCTGTGTATCATGTGATCTCTGTGTATCATGTGATCTGTGTGATCTCTGTGTATCATGTGATCTCTGTGTATCATGTGACCTGTGTGTATCATGTGATCTGTGTGTATCATGTGATCTGTGGCTATCATGTGACCTGTGTGATCTCTGTGTATCATGTGATCTCTGTGTATCATGTGATCTCTGTGTATCATGTGATCTGTGGCTATCATGTGATCTGTGTGATCTCTGTGTATCATGTGATCTCTGTGTATCATGTGATCTCTGTGTATCATGTGACCTGTCACGATTAGGGATGGGTATCGTTAAGGTTTTAACGGTACGGCTACTTTTATCGATCCGGTCTTTTAACGGTACTTTTATCGGTTCTTTTGGAGAAAAAAAATAAGGTAAACTAACTAAACAAATTGTGAACAAAACTAACACTGCTTTTTATTTAAATTAAATACATAATATTTCACATCAAAAGAAACAACAATGTTTTAACAAATCGTATTAAATAATCTGATGACATAATTGTAAACAGATAATGTTTGTGTAGCAATAATACACATGAGATATCTTTTTTACATGTCTCCAGCAGTACCGATAAAAAGACCGATAACGTCGGAGCTTAACGGTACCACGGTCTTTAATAATTCAGCCCCGGGGCTCGGTACCCATCCCTAGTCACGATGTGAACGATGTACCTTTAGGACGACTTCCTCCACCGTCACACAGCCGCTCAGCGGTTGGTTGGGCACTGTTTTGGTCTCCAAGGTGACCGAGCAGGGTCTCAATACCTATTGGACAGAAATCTGCAGGTGAGTCAGGCTCTGATTCAACCCTCCTGTCGGGTCATATCTGACCGATGTACTACTTTCATCACAAGTATTTTGTTTGACTTGTGATTTCTCAAGGCTTCATGATTTTCTCCACATGTGAACATATACATTGCTGATCACCACTTCCATTGCATCTGTTTGTCACTTTGTAACACCTATGACTCAAAAGGAAATGAATGGTCACCCTAGATTCTGTTGATCCATCAGATAGCACACACAAACAAATCAAAATGTTCATTTTGGAAAACATTTTCAGCGCCTATTCTTTAACCAGTGAGACATTGGTTACAGCTTTTAGGGTGTAGCAGTAAGACATATCAGGGGCAGGTAATATAGAAGACTCATCCTACTGGTAACATGCATACAAAGGCACATTCAGACCTCTGTTAATGTGTTTTGTCCCTAATGGTGAGGTGGGGGTCATGTGATGGAGGGGGTCATATGATGGTGGGGGTCATGTGATGGTGGGGGTCATGTGATGGTGGGGGTCATGTGATGGTGGGGGTCATGTGATGGAGGGGGTCATGTGATGGTGGGGGTCATGTGATGGTGGGGGGTCATGTGATGGTGGGGGTCATGTGATGGAGGGGGTCATGTGATGGTGGGGGTCATGTGATGGTGGGGGGTCATGTGATGGAGGGGGTCATGTGATGGTGGGGGTCATGTGATGGTGGGGGTCATGTGATGGTGGGGGTCATGTGATGGAGGGGGTCATGTGATGGTGGGGGTCATGTGATGGTGGGGGTCATGTGATGGAGGGGGTCATGTGATGGTGGGGGTCATGTGATGGTGGGGGTCATGTGATGGAGGGGGTCATGTGATGGTGGGGGTCATGTGATGGTGGGGGTCATGTGATGGTGGGGTCATGTGATGGTGGGGGTCATGTGATGGTGGGGGTCATGTGATGGAGGGGGTCATGTGATGGTGGGGGTCATGTGATCTCACGGTGGTGACGGCGGCGTCCTCCTGGTCCCTGATGAAGGGGCAGGCCAGCACTCGGAGCTCCCTCAGATTGGCCCTCATGTCTTGCCGTCCGTCCTCCTCCAGCTGCAGGCTGAAGTCGCACTGGAACGACGCCACGAGGGCGGGGGCATCGGCCTTCATCAGGCTGGCAACAAACACCACCTCCGGGTCCAGAACCACCGCCCGAAGACGAGTCCTGACGGGAGAGGCTGACCAGAACAAATCTTCGTTATGTTAAGATTAAAACACTCCATCAATTAGACACGAGGAAATGATTATGATTTTCTGGTGAATCTTTTTGACTCAGAACAAGTTGAGCATGCTCTCTGACAGCCAGCAGGGGGCGACTCCTGAAAGAAGTCTTGATTCTATGAGAAAGTGTTCCTCCTTCTCTCTTGATTTATTACCTTGTATAGAAGTATATGAGAGAGTGTATGTGTTACCGGTGTTGGTGTGGGCTCGAGGCTTGGCGGTCTGTTTGAGGGGTAGTCTGTCGCTGGCTGCAGTGTTCGGTGTCTGAGGAAGCGCCTGCAGGAAGAAGTCAGCGACGGCCATCAGGAACTCAACGCTGGCACACAGGTAGAGTCTCTGCAGGACGAACACCACCTCCCGCTCTGCGGCGCTCTGCCGGTACGTCACATCGATCATCGCCTCAGCGCTGTCCTCGTCTCTGCGGCCCACCATCCTGCCGGCGGGACGGGAAGTCATTTTATAACAAGCTGTTCTGAAACCAACCTTCAGGACTTTCACTGCACCTCTGATGTGCAATGATACGCCTCTTTATAGATATTATTACTGCTTATTTCTCTGTCCACCTGGACGGTCACCATTGCACATCTTTCTTTGTGTCATTTATAATATTTGATGCATAACTCTTATTTAATAAAAACACATAATAAATAGTTTGGTGACTTTGCTGTAACAATGTAAATGCCCCCTCTATGGGACTCACACAGGTATTCTGATCACAAGGTGTTCAGTAACCAAAGTGCAGGACTCTCACTGCAGTGGGTCTGTTTCCTGATGGATCATGTTACCGTGACGATGCTCTCTCCATGCCGGTCCTCAGGTCGTCCAGGGTGCAGCCGCTCAGCACCGCCGTCACCTCCAGGCCGTCGCTGCTCCGGATCCTCCCCGAGACCCGCAGCTGGTGCAGGGCCAGCTCGCCCAGCCGGAGCTCCTGCTGGTGCTGCAGGGCCAGCGGCTGCAGAGCAGAACCACGATTACAATCAAGACCCAGAACCAGAGAGAGGATCCTGTACCAGAATCAGTCTCAGGTCCAACAACCAGACAAAGGAACCAGAATCAGACTTGGGTCCAAAAGCCAGACAAAGGAACCAGAACCAGAATCAGACTCAGGTCCAACAGCCAGACAAAGGAACCAGAACCAGAATCAGACTCAGGTCCAACAGCCAGACAAAGGAACCAGAACCAGAATCAGACTCAGGTCCAACAGCCAGACAAAGGAACCAGAACCAGAATCAGACTCAGGTCCAACAGCCAGACAAAGGAACCAGAACCAGAGCCTCTGCTGCTGTTTGAGGACTGACCTGTTTCGGGTCGTTGCTGTACAGGACCAGACCCAGAGACTCGATGTTCAGGTTGAACCTGAGGTTCTCCAGATCCTCCTGGTCTTCCCCACCAGTCTCAGCCACTGGCTCAGCTGAAAACAGACCAAACAGAACCATCAGAACCTGGACTGACTGCAGAACTCAGCTTGTCACATTTAAATAATGAAGTCCTTCTGACCTGCGGGGGGGCCTGCTCCCAGCTGCCCGACGGCCTCCGGTCGAGGGTCGGGGTTCTCCGGACCACCGGCCTCTCCCAGGTTCTCCGTCAGGATCCTCAGCAGAACCTTCAGGTCCTCCTGACTCAGCTCCACCTACAGGTACGGTATTAGCCTATCTTAGCACACACACTGGAAGCAGGGGGAAACTGCTAGCCCAGCACGTAGAGCCAGTTCTTCCCTAACGACACAAACTAGAGAATGCAATTCCTGAAGACATTGCTAGTGGGAATGCTTCATGCTGAAATGTAATGTGTAAGAAAGTGAAGCATTTAGATTGAGATGATACATGAACACTGGGGGCTTGAATGTGTGATGAGAGAAGAAAGTAAAAAGGCTTGAATATTTGAACTGCAAACTTTTGAACTAACTTGATGGCGAATGATCTGTAGCCATGGCAACGGCATCTCATCTCAAGGACCTTGAGTATCTGAAGTGTAATTTTTGTGTACTTTCGGGTCAATAATGTGGCCTTTTTGGCAGTTTAACTAAAGGCTGCTGCTGTGAGGAAATATCTGCCTGAAATTACAATGGGTTTTAATGGAGACATGTTGAACGTTTTTGTCACTTCATGCCCTCAAGAGGCATTTTGTTTAATTATTTTTGCTTAATTATTTGTCATTTTTCAAGCTACGAGATGTTTTCCTACGTTTGTCATGAAAAATTATATCTCAGGAATGTAGGGTTTGGGAATTATGGCAGTTTAAAAAAAAAATATGAAGGCAAATTTCAAGATTTGCTACCCTCTAGCTGTGACATCACGCACTCTAGTTAATGTTAAAATCTGAAGAAAGCCTCTTTACCAAGGTCTGAACAATGTTTAATATCTCTGAAAGAATCAGATTTAAAAGTTGTGTTACACGAATAATGTCAGAAAGATGTGTAACATTTTTCTGCGATGTTCAATGTGGGAGGAGAAGACCGGCAAAATAACGGGCGGAATAAAATTAAAGAATTTCGTGCGTAGAAGAACAGAGATCTATCTAAAACAGCATTCCCACTAAATGAGATCTATCTAAAACAGCATTCCCACTAAATGAGATCTATCTAAAACAGCATTCCCACTAATTGAGATCTATCTAAAACAGCATTCCCACTAAATGAGATCTATCTAAAACAGCATTCACACTAAATGAGATCTATCTAAAACAGCATTCACATGGCCCGAAACACACAGGCTTAAAGTTCTGAAACAGGTACAGGACTACAGGGTCATATTGTATGAGGACTGGTTCAGAGACAAGAGCAGGCGGGTTAGAAACGAGTGTGTTAAAGTGTGTGTTATATTTTATTATCAGGACCTTCATGGGCTTCAGGTCTCCATCCACCTCCACTGCCACCATCTTTTTGTACCAGGTCGCCGACAAGTTCCTCCGGACCATCAGCTGCAGGTTCACCGGCTCCAGCAGCTCGATGCCAGGCCCCCCCCCCCGCCGCCGGGTCCGAGTCTGGGTCCAGACAGGTCCTGATGGACGAGTCATGTTAGACGTGTTTATCTCTACTAGCTGAGTCATGTTAGACGTGTTTATCTCAACAAGCTGAGTCATGTTAGACGTGTTTATCTCTACTAGCTGAGTCATGTTAGACGTGTTTATCTCAACAAGCTGAGTCATGTTAGACGTGTTTATCTCTACAAGCTGAGTCATGTTAGACGTGTTTATCTCTACTAGCTGAGTCATGTTAGACGTGTTTATCTCTACTAGCTGAGTCATGTTAGACGTGTTTATCTCTACTAGCTGAGTCATGTTAGACGTGTTTATCTCTACTAGCTGAGTCATGTTAGACGTGTTTTATCTCAACTAGCTGAGTCATGTTAGACGTGTTTATCTCTACTAGCTGAGTCATGTTAGACGTGTTTATCTCTACTAGCTGAGTCATGTTAGACGTGTTTATCTCTACTAGCTGAGTCATGTTAGACGTGTTTATCTCTACTAGCTGAGTCATGTTAGACGTGTTTATCTCTACTAGCTGAGTCATGTTAGACGTGTTTATCTCAACTAGCTGAGTCATGTTAGACGTGTTTATCTCTACTAGCTGAGTCATGTTAGACGTGTTTATCTCAACTAGCTGAGTCATGTTAGACGTGTTTATCTCAACTAGCTGAGTCATGTTAGACGTGTTATCTCTACTAGCTGAGTCATGTTAGACGTGTTATCTCAACTAGCTGAGTCATGTTAGACGTGTTTATCTCTACTAGCTGAGTCATGTTAGACGTGTTTATCTCTACTAGCTGAGTCATGTTAGACGGGTTTATCTCAACTAGCTGAGTCATGTTAGACGTGTTTATCTCTACTAGCTGAGTCATGTTAGACGTGTTTATCTCAACTAGCTGAGTCATGTTAGACGTGTTTATCTCTACTAGCTGAGTCATGTTAGACGTGTTTATCTCTACAAGCTGAGTCATGTTAGACGTGTTTATCTCTATATAAGCTGAGTCATGTTAGACGTGTTTATCTCAACTAGCTGAGTCATGTTAGACGTGTTTATCTCAACTAGCTGAGTCATGTTAGACGTGTTTATCTCTACTAGCTGAGTCATGTTAGACGTGTTTATCTCTACTAGCTGAGTCATGTTAGACGTGTTTATCTCTATATAAGCTGAGTCATGTTAGACGTGTTTATCTCTATATAAGCTGAGTCATGTTAGACGTGTTTATCTCTACTAGCTGAGTCATGTTAGACGTGTTTATCTCTACTAGCTGAGTCATGTTAGACGTGTTTATCTCTATATAAGCTGAGTCATGTTAGACGTGTTTATCTCTATATAAGCTGAGTCATGTTAGACGTGTTTATCTCTACTAGCTGAGTCATGTTAGACGTGTTTATCTCTACAAGCTGAGTCATGTTAGACGTGTTTATCTCAACTAGCTGAGTCATGTTAGACGTGTTTATCTCTACTAGCTGAGTCATGTTAGACGTGTTTATCTCAACTAGCTGAGTCATGTTAGACGTGTTTATCTCTACTAGCTGAGTCATGTTAGACGGTTTATCTCTACTAGCTGAGTCATGTTAGACGTGTTTATCTCAACTAGCTGAGTCATGTTAGACGTGTTTATCTCTACTAGCTGAGTCATGTTAGACGTGTTTATCTCAACTAGCTGAGTCATGTTAGACGTGTTTATCTCTACTAGCTGAGTCATGTTAGACGTGTTTATCTCTACAAGCTGAGTCATGTTAGACGTGTTTATCTCTATATAAGCTGAGTCATGTTAGACGTGTTTATCTCAACTAGCTGAGTCATGTTAGACGTGTTTATCTCAACTAGCTGAGTCATGTTAGACGTGTTTATCTCTACTAGCTGAGTCATGTTAGACGTGTTTATCTCTACTAGCTGAGTCATGTTAGACGTGTTTATCTCTATATAAGCTGAGTCATGTTAGACGTGTTTATCTCTATATAAGCTGAGTCATGTTAGACGTGTTTATCTCTACTAGCTGAGTCATGTTAGACGTGTTTATCTCTACAAGCTGAGTCATGTTAGACGTGTTTATCTCTACTAGCTGAGTCATGTTAGACGTGTTTATCTCTACAAGCTGAGTCATGTTAGACGTGTTTATCTCTATATAAGCTGAGTCATGTTAGACGTGTTTATCTCAACTACCTGAGTCATGTTAGACGTGTTTATCTCTACTAGCTGAGTCATGTTAGACGTGTTTATCTCTACTAGCTGAGTCATGTTAGACGTGTTTATCTCTACTAGCTGAGTCATGTTAGACGTGTTTATCTCTATATAAGCTGAGTCATGTTAGACGTGTTTATCTCTATATAAGCTGAGTCATGTTAGACGTGTTTATCTCTACTAGCTGAGTCATGTTAGACGTGTTTATCTCTACAAGCTGAGTCATGTTAGACGTGTTTATCTCTACAAGCTGAGTCATGTTAGACGTGTTTATCTCTACTAGCTGAGTCATGTTAGACGTGTTTATCTCTATATAAGCTGAGTCATGTTAGACGTGTTTATCTCTACTAGCTGAGTCATGTTAGACGTGTTTATCTCTACAAGCTGAGTCATGTTAGACGTGTTTATCTCTACTAGCTGAGTCATGTTAGACGTGTTTATCTCTATATAAGCTGAGTCATGTTAGACGTGTTTATCTCTATATAAGCTGAGTCATGTTAGACGTGTTTATCTCTACTAGCTGAGTCATGTTAGACGTGTTTATCTCAACTAGCTGAGTCATGTTAGACGTGTTTATCTCTACAAGCTGAGTCATGTTAGACGTGTTTATCTCTACTAGCTGAGTCATGTTAGACGTGTTTATCTCTATATAAGCTGAGTCATGTTAGACGTGTTTATCTCTATATAAGCTGAGTCATGTTAGACGTGTTTATCTCTACAAGCTGAGTCATGTTAGACGTGTTTATCTCTACAAGCTGAGTCATGTTAGACGTGTTTATCTCTACAAGCTGAGTCATGTTAGACGTGTTTATCTCAACTAGCTGAGTCATGTTAGACGTGTTTATCTCTACAAGCTGAGTCATGTTAGACGTGTTTATCTCAACTAGCTGAGTCATGTTAGACGTGTTTATCTCTACTAGCTGAGTCATGTTAGACGTGTTTATCCTCAACTAGCTGAGTCATGTTAGACGTGTTTATCTCTACAAGCTGAGTCATGTTAGACGTGTTTATCTCAACTAGCTGAGTCATGTTAGACGTGTTTATCTCTACTAGCTGAGTCATGTTAGACGTGTTTATCTCTACTAGCTGAGTCATGTTAGACGTGTTTATCTCAACTAGCTGAGTCATGTTAGACGTGTTTATCTCTACTAGCTGAGTCATGTTAGACGTGTTTATCTCTACAAGCTGAGTCATGTTAGACGTGTTTATCTCTACTAGCTGAATCATGTTAGACGTGTTTATCTCTACTAGCTGAGTCATGTTAGACGTGTTTATCTCAACTAGCTGAGTCATGTTAGACGTGTTTATCTCAACTAGCTGAGTCATGTTAGACGTGTTTATCTCAACTAGCTGAGTCATGTTAGACGTGTTTATCTCAACTAGCTGAGTCATGTTAGACGTGTTTATCTCTACTAGCTGAGTCATGTTAGACGTGTTTATCTCAACTAGCTGAGTCATGTTAGACGTGTTTATCTCTACTAGCTGAGTCATGTTAGACGTGTTTATCTTTACTAGCTGAGTCATGTTAGACGTGTTTATCTCTACTAGCTGAATCATGTTAGACGTGTTTATCTCTACTAGCTGAGTCATGTTAGACGTGTTTATCTCAACTAGCTGAGTCATGTTAGACGTGTTTATCTCAACTAGCTGAGTCATGTTAGACGTGTTTATCTCAACTAGCTGAGTCATGTTAGACGTGTTTATCTCAACTAGCTGAGTCATGTTAGACGTGTTTATCTCTACTAGCTGAGTCATGTTAGACGTGTTTATCTCAACTAGCTGAGTCATGTTAGACGTGTTTATCTCTACTAGCTGAGTCATGTTAGACGTGTTATCTCAACTACTGAGATCTCTACTAGCTGAGTCATGTTAGACGTGTTTATCTCTACTAGCTGAGTCATGTTAGACGTGTTTATCTCTACTAGCTGAGTCATGTTAGACGTGTTTATCTCTACTAGCTGAGTCATGTTAGACGTGTTTATCTCTACAAGCTGAGTCATGTTAGACGTGTTTATCTCTACTAGCTGAGTCATGTTAGACGTGTTTATCTCTACTAGCTGAGTCATGTTAGACGTGTTTATCTCTACTAGCTGAGTCATGTTAGACGTGTTTATCTCTACTAGCTGAGTCATGTTAGACGTGTTTATCTCTACTAGCTGAGTCATGTTAGACGTGTTTATCTCAACTAGCTGAGTCATGTTAGACGTGTTTATCTCTACTAGCTGAGTCATGTTAGACGTGTTTATCTCTACTAGCTGAGTCATGTTAGACGTGTTTATCTCAACTAGCTGAGTCATGTTAGACGTGTTTATCTCTACAAGCTGAGTCATGTTAGACGTGTTTATCTCTACTAGCTGAGTCATGTTAGACGTGTTTATCTCTACTAGCTGAGTCATGTTAGACGTGTTTATCTCTACTAGCTGAGTCATGTTAGACGTGTTTATCTCTACTAGCTGAGTCATGTTAGACGTGTTTATCTCTACTAGCTGAGTCATGTTAGACGTGTTTATCTCAACTAGCTGAGTCATGTTAGACGTGTTTATCTCAACTAGCTGAGTCATGTTAGACGTGTTTATCTCAACTAGCTGAGTCATGTTAGACGTGTTTATCTCTACAAGCTGAGTCATGTTAGACGTGTTTATCTCAACTAGCTGAGTCATGTTAGACGTGTTTATCCCTACTAGCTGAGTCATGTTAGACGTGTTTATCTCAACTAGCTGAGTCATGTTAGACGTGTTTATCTCTACTAGCTGAGTCATGTTAGACGTGTTTATCTCTACTAGCTGAGTCATGTTAGACGTGTTTATCTCAACTAGCTGAGTCATGTTAGACGTGTTTATCTCAACTAGCTGAGTCATGTTAGACGTGTTTATCTCAACTAGCTGAGTCATGTTAGACGTGTTTATCTCAACTAGCTGAGTCATGTTAGACGTGTTTATCTCTATATAAGCTGAGTCATGTTAGACGTGTTTATCTCTACTAGCTGAGTCATGTTAGACGTGTTTATCTCTACTAGCTGAGTCATGTTAGACGTGTTTATCTCAACAAGCTGAGTCATGTTAGACGTGTTTATCTCTACTAGCTGAGTCATGTTAGACGTGTTTATCTCTACTAGCTGAGTCATGTTAGACGTGTTTATCTCTACTAGCTGAGTCATGTTAGACGTGTTTATCTCAACTAGCTGAGTCATGTTAGACGTGTTTATCTCTACTAGCTGAGTCATGTTAGACGTGTTTATCTCAACTAGCTGAGTCATGTTAGACGTGTTTATCTCAACTAGCTGAGTCATGTTAGACGTGTTTATCTCTACTAGCTGAGTCATGTTAGACGTGTTTATCTCAACTAGCTGAGTCATGTTAGACGTGTTTATCTCTACTAGCTGAGTCATGTTAGACGTGTTTATCTCAACTAGCTGAGTCATGTTAGACGTGTTTATCTCAACAAGCTGAGTCATGTTAGACGTGTTTATCTCTACTAGCTGAGTCATGTTAGACGTGTTTATCTCAACTAGCTGAGTCATGTTAGACGTGTTTATCTCAACTAGCTGAGTCATGTTAGACGTGTTTATCTCTACTAGCTGAGTCATGTTAGACGTGTTTATCTCAACTAGCTGAGTCATGTTAGACGTGTTTATCTCTACTAGCTGAGTCATGTTAGACCCACCGGGACAGTTTGAGCTGCGTCAGCTGGACCTCCATCTTCTCCAGCACGGCGGGCAGTGGGCAGCCGTCGGCGGGCATTAGCGAGAAGCTGTTCCCCACCGTGATCAGACCCAGGTCCATCACCAGTGCATGCTGGGAGATGGAGTTCTGGGGCACGATGATGAGCGGCGCCTTCAGCTTGATGTCCATGGACAGACGGAAACTCTTATGGGCGAAGTCCTTCACGCTGAGCGCCGCCTGAGCCGCCGCCTGAGCCGTGGCGGCGCTCAGAGCCGCTTTAGCCGTCTGGAAGTTGTTGGAGAAGTTCTGAAAGACAATAAAATATCTCTTGAAGCATAACTGGTGTTAGAAAGCCAATAGGGTCTTAGACAGGATGCCTCTGCGACTATGAACAGTCAGAAAATCAACACGCATCCACACATATGATCGGATATTGGAGAGAAAATAGTAAACAAATACTTTAATCTTTGAGTAAAAGATTGATAGCCATACGTCATATTACAGGTAGCTTGTATCATGCAGATGAAAGTTCACCGGTCCTAAATGAAAGGGCCAAACCACGCCTATATGTGACATCACTATAATTCAGCGAGTCAACATCAATCAAAACAATAATAAACATCAACACATGGAAATCCATGCTCTGCGTAATAAAATCACTCTTACAAACATTCAGAACATTTCATTATAAATATAAATAAGGTAAATATGCAAGATGTCTCCAACAGTAGGGGTCTGTACTCTGTAAAGACCAGGCTCCTCTGAGACCCCCAGGACTCACCAGCAGGGACATGATGAACTTGTGCAGGTAGACCATCTGAATGCAGCCCACGCTCAGTTTCAGTCGGCCATCTGTCTTCGAGGTGTCGGCGTATCCCGGACCCTCCGTGGCGTTTGGAGTCAGACTCAAAGAGAAGCTGAAGACCTCGTCCCCCACGATGGAGATCGCCTGAGAACAGAAAATCAGAAGATGGGGTCAAGACAAAGGGTTTTCTGCGGTCCTGGTTTGGCAGGAACAGGGACTGACCTTCTTGTGGAAGCTGTGTGGGTCCACGTTGAGGACGATGAAGTCCTTCAGCCTGGCGGAGATATGAGTCTGGGGTCCCTGCATCAGCAGAGAGCCATTCAGACCTGAAAGAGAAAGAGACAGATTCAGGGTCTGTGCAGACCTGTCGAGGATCCAGCAGATTATAATAATGAATAATCCAATGGGTCGAGACCTTGGATCTTAATGTGGGCCATGTCGCAGCTCTGGTCGCACACCAGCACATTAAAGGCTCCCAGCGTCATCGTGACCTTCAGGTCGATGATGTCACTTCCTGCCGGTGAGACCAGGGTGGCTGAGGGGGAAGCGGACAGGTCAGTGTTAATATAAATATAGAAGGGTATCACAGGGAAGACCTTCAGCTGGGTCCCTGAACTCATCATGTCATAAGTATATGTGTATACCAAATTGTACGGTGTCCCTGGGTGTCATCAAATGCGCCCTTATGTCTCCTATTATACAATCTTTCTCTCCAGTACAGGTTAGCTCTGAGTGTTAGCATGCTAATGTAAACACAGACCATATTACTTCCAGAACACGTCTCATTGTTTCTGACAGCAACGTTTCTGATTGGCCCGTGGGTGTAAAGCCCGCCCACATTTTAGTAATGTCGTCATGACGCAGCAAATCTGGATCAGCTCCGTTGTTCCCCGTTTTTAGAGATGTGGGTACGGAGGAAAAGAGAGAGGGGTTTATTTCCTGATACTTTGAGAGTCTCCTGACACACCGGGGACACACCGGGGACACACGGGGGACACACCGGGGACACACCGGGGACACACCGGGGACGCACCGGGGACACACCGGGGACGCACCGGGGACACACCGGGGACACATGGGGGACACACCGGGGACACACCGGGGACACACGGGGGACACACCGGGGACACACCGGGGACGCACCGGGGACGCACCGGGGACACACGGGGGACACACCGGGGACGCACCGGGGACACACCGGGGACACATGTTGATGTAGAAAAGACATCAGAAAGTGCATTCTGCATGATAGGAGATCTTTAAATAAAATGTATTATTATTATTATATAGATGTTTTGACAGGTACTGACTGGACTTGGCGGACGGCGTCTTGTCGTCCGTCTTCATCCTGATGTCTCTCTCTGGAGACGACTTCCTGCCGGAGGATAGCGTCGCTGACAGGAAGTCGATGGCTGACAGCAGAGCCTCGGAGTGGAGCATCAGGTCCAGAGAACTGAAGACCACCTGGAGACAAGAATCTGTTACAGAACAGCTGAAGACCACCTGGAGACAAGAATCTGCTGACTCATCACTAACAGAACAGCTGGAGACCACCTGGAGACAAGAAGCTGACTCATCACTAACAGAACAGCTGGAGACCACCTGGAGACAAGAAGCTGACTCATCACTAAAAGAACAGCTGGAGACCACCTGGAGACAAGAAGCTGACTCATCACTAACAGAACAGCTGAAGACCACCAGGAGACAAGAAGCTGACTCATCACTAACAGAACAGCTGAAGACCACCAGGAGACAAGAAGCTGACTCATCACTAACAGAACAGCTGGAGACCACCAGGAGACAAGAAGCTGACTCATCACTAACAGAACAGCTGGAGACCACCTGGAGACAAGAAGCTGACTCATCACTAACAGAACAGCTGAAGACCACCTGGAGACAAGAAGCTGACTCATCACTAACAGAACAGCTGGAGACCACCTGGAGACAAGATGCTGACTCATCACTAACAGAACAGCTGAAGACCACCTGGAGACAAGAAGCTGACTCATCACTAACAGAACAGCTGGAGACCACCAGGAGACAAGAAGCTGACTCATCACTAACAGAACAGCTGAAGACCACCAGGAGACAAGAAGCTGACTCATCACTAACAGAACAGCTGGAGACCACCTGGAGACAAGAAGCTGACTCATCACTAACAGAACAGCTGGAGACCACCAGGAGACAAGAAGCTGACTCATCACTAACAGAACAGCTGGAGACCACCTGGAGACAAGAAGCTGACTCATCACTAACAGAACAGCTGGAGACCACCTGGAGACAAGAAGCTGACTCATCACTAACAGAACAGCTGGAGACCACCAGGAGACAAGAAGCTGACTCATCACTAACAGAACAGCTGGAGACCACCTGGAGACAAGAAGCTGACTCATCACTAACAGAACAGCTGGAGACCACCTGGAGACAAGAAGCTGACTCATCACTAACAGAACAGCTGAAGACCACCTGGAGACAAGAAGCTGACTCATCACTAACAGAACAGCTGAAGACCACCAGGAGACAAGAAGCTGACTCATCACTAACAGAACAGCTGGAGACCACCTGGAGACAAGAAGCTGACTCATCACTAACAGAACAGCTGGAGACCACCTGGAGACAAGAAGCTGACTCATCACTAACAGAACAGCTGAAGACCACCAGGAGACAAGAAGCTGACTCATCACTAACAGAACAGCTGAAGACCACCAGGAGACAAGAAGCTGACTCATCACTAACAGAACAGCTGGAGACCACCTGGAGACAAGAAGCTGACTCATCACTAACAGAACAGCTGGAGACCACCAGGAGACAAGAAGCTGACTCATCACTAACAGAACAGCTGGAGACCACCTGGAGACAAGAAGCTGACTCATCACTAACAGAACAGCTGGAGACCACCAGGAGACAAGAAGCTGACTCATCACTAACAGAACAGCTGAAGACCACCAGGAGACAAGAAGCTGACTCATCACTAACAGAACAGCTGGAGACCACCTGGAGACAAGAAGCTGACTCATCACTAACAGAACAGCTGGAGACCACCTGGAGACAAGAAGCTGACTCATCACTAACAGAACAGCTGGAGACCACCTGGAGTATAAAGTACTTCTTCTCTTCTCTTATCTCCAACAGGACAGCTGATAAACAACTAAAGACTTCCTGTTTCTTCTGTGATTTCCCGAGGCTTCATTATCTCAGGACGGGATCTCGTTTGGACTCACGTTGATCATCTGCTCCGTGTTTTTGTAAACGCTGGAGAAGTTCGGTCCGGAGCGGTCCGCCTGAGGAAGAAACAGGAAGTAGATCTCTTAATATGAGTCAGCAGGTAATCAGATTACAGTGAGTCAGCAGGTAATCAGATTACAGTGAGTCAGCAGGTAATCAGATTACAGTGAGTCAGCAGGTAATCAGATTACAGTGAGTCAGCAGGTAATCAGATTACATTGTACCTTGAAGTACTGCACTTTGAGCAGCTCCGATCCGGACCCCGAGGAGCTGATGAGACACAACGCGGCGCCGCTTGAATCTGAAACGAGAACCAAACCTGTCAAACTGCTGCTGCTAACAAGTCTGTGTGATTCATGACCGTTGTTGTTTTCACTCCATGTTGGAATTCAACAAGTACTTTATTTCTATTGAGAAGTTTACATTCTGGATTGTTCAATGCCATGTCTTTTGATGCTGCTGCAACGCTAACTGGGATCAATAAAGTACGTCTTATCTTATATTGAATTGTGATCGCATGAAATCATGATCTGTTCTTTAGTTTGATGTTTGAGTGTGTGTGTGTGTGTGTGTGTGTGTGTGTGTGTGTGTGTGTGTGTGTGTGTGTGTGTGTGTGTGTGTGTGTGTGTGTGTGTGTGTGTGTGTGTGTGTGTGTGTATGTGTGTGTGTGCGATGCTAATGCTAGTGCTAGAACAAGTGGACTCTGACCTTTGAACTCTGGGCAGCTCAGGGAGATCTGGTTGATGAAGGTTGTTGCCACCGTGTCAAACCTCCTCACTTTGGTGTTGATGCCCAGCTGAGCCGCCTGGAACACCAGGAAGGCCACTTCCTGCTTCTTCAGCGTCAGCAGAACCTGAACCAGGACCAGAGGAACCAGAACTGCTGAGTCTCAGGTAAACCAGATGTTAATATGAGTCAGCAGAACCTGAACCAGGACCAGAGGAACCAGAACTGCTGAGTCTCAGGTAAACCAGATGTTAATATGAGTCAGCAGAACCTGAACCAGGACCAGAGGAACCAGAACTGCTGAGTCTCAGGTAAACCAGATGTTAATATGAGTCAGCAGAACCTGAACCAGGACCAGAGGAACCAGAACTGCTGAGACTCAGGAAAACCAGATGTTAATATGAGTCAGCAGAACCTGAACCAGGACCAGAGGAACCAGAACTGCTGAGTCTCAGGAAAACCAGATGTTAATATGAGTCAGCAGAAACCTACCTCTTTGATTTCGAAGTTCAGCAGGACGTTGACGGTGTTCTCTGTCAGAGCGCCATTGGTGGCATGCGAGGCGCTGTCAGACCCTGTCTGATTGGACGACAGCTCCACCTGCTGCTCAGGATGCCCCGCCCTCTCTGAGGAGCGACACATGGGGTTAAAACTCTTATCCTGAGGTTTATTAGTGAAGCTGATTCATCTGGGAGGTTTTATATACAACTTGTCTGTAGTGAGATTTCCCATCATGCACTTGGTTACCTTGAGCCACCTGTGTTTTGGCGTCAACGCTGTGTGTTTTACTTCCTTCCCCGATGTTCTCCACCAGGATCTTCATCAGCACCCCGAGGTCTTCCTCACCCAGACTCATCTGAGGAACCAGAGTTTAATCTACATCAGCACTGACACTGAAAACTGTCGAGTCATGGTTTAAACACTGAGGTACCTTCAGGGACCGTAAGACTTTCCTGACTCTGAAAAACAGCTGAGTTCAAACATTTAAAGATGTACGTTCAGTGACTGTAGGACACAGAAACAGCTGGGTCAGGATGTATACACTTAGCTACCTTCAGGGACCATAGGATTCCCTGGACTCAGAAACAGTGGAGTCACAGTTTAAACACTGAGGTACCTTCAGGGAACGTAGGATTCCCTGGACTCAGAAACAGTGGAGTCACAGTTTAAACACTGAGGTACCTTCAGGGAACGTAGGATTCCCTGGACTTGGACCCCCGGGATCTTAGTGAACCAGGAGGCGGCCATGTTTCTGGTGACGAGCAACTCGACGTTGATTGGCTGCAGGATCTCAATGTGGGAGGAGCCTGGCTGAAGCGTCGTCCTGAAATAAGAAAATAAAGTTAGTTATAATAATTATGTTAGATTTACTTAGTGAGAGTCATTTTAACATGTTAGAAGTGTTTATCTCTACAAGCTGAGTCATGTTAGACGTGTTTATCTCAACTAGCTGAGTCATGTTAGACGTGTTTATCTCAACTAGCTGAGTCATGTTAGACGTGTTTATCTCTACTAGCTGAGTCATGTTAGACGTGTTATCTCAACTAGCTGAGTCATGTTAGACGTGTTTATCTCTACTAGCTGAGTCATGTTAGACGTGTTTATCTCAACAAGCTGAGTCATGTTAGACGTGTTTATCTCAACAAGCTGAGTCATGTTAGACGTGTTTATCTCAACTAGCTGAGTCATGTTAGACGTGTTTATCTCAACAAGCTGAGTCATGTTAGACGTGTTTATCTCTACTAGCTGAGTCATGTTAGACGTGTTTATCTCTACTAGCTGAGTCATGTTAGACGTGTTTATCTCTATCTGAGTCATGTTAGACGTGTTTATCTCAACAAGCTGAGTCATGTTAGACGTGTTTATCTCAACTAGCTGAGTCATGTTAGACGTGTTTATCTCTACAAGCTGAGTCATGTTAGACGTGTTTATCTCTACTAGCTGAGTCATGTTAGACGTGTTTATCTCAACAAGCTGAGTCATGTTAGACGTGTTTATCTCTACTAGCTGAGTCATGTTAGACGTGTTTATCTCTACAAGCTGAGTCATGTTAGACGTGTTTATCTCAACTAGCTGAGTCATGTTAGACGTGTTTATCTCTACTAGCTGAGTCATGTTAGACGTGTTTATCTCAACAAGCTGAGTCATGTTAGACGTGTTTATCTCTACTAGCTGAGTCATGTTAGACGTGTTTATCTCTACTAGCTGAGTCATGTTAGACGTGTTTATCTCTACTAGCTGAGTCATGTTAGACGTGTTTATCTCAACTAGCTGAGTCATGTTAGACGTGTTTATCTCTACTAGCTGAGTCATGTTAGACGTGTTTATCTCAACTAGCTGAGTCATGTTAGACGTGTTTATCTCTACTAGCTGAGTCATGTTAGACGTGTTTATCTCTACTAGCTGAGTCATGTTAGACGTGTTTATCTCTACTAGCCGAGTCATGTTAGACGTGTTTATCTCTACTAGCTGAGTCATGTTAGACGTGTTTATCTCAACTAGCTGAGTCATGTTAGACGTGTTTATCTCTACAAGCTGAGTCATGTTAGACGTGTTTATCTCAACAAGCTGAGTCATGTTAGACGTGTTTATCTCTACTAGCTGAGTCATGTTAGACGTGTTATCTCAACTAGCTGAGTCATGTTAGACGTGTTTATCTCAACTAGCTGAGTCATGTTAGACGTGTTTATCTCAACTAGCTGAGTCATGTTAGACGTGTTTATCTCTACTAGCTGAGTCATGTTAGACGTGTTTATCTCAACTAGCTGAGTCATGTTAGACGTGTTTATCCCTACTAGCTGAGTCATGTTAGATGTGTTTATCTCTACTAGCTGAGTCATGTTAGACGTGTTTATCTCTACTAGCTGAGTCATGTTAGACGTGTTTAACCCTACTAGCTGAGTCATGTTAGACGTGTTTATCCCTACTAGCTGAGTCATGTTAGACGTGTTTATCTCTACTAGCTGAGTCATGTTAGACGTGTTTATCTCTACTAGCTGAGTCATGTTAGACGTGTTTATCCCTACTAGCTGAGTCATGTTAGACGTGTTTATCTCTACTAGCTGAGTCATGTTAGACGGGTTTATCTCTACTAGCTGAGTCATGTTAGACGTGTTTTATCTCAACTAGCTGAGTCATGTTAGACGTGTTTATCTCAACTAGCTGAGTCATGTTAGACGTGTTTATCTCTACTAGCTGAGTCATGTTAGACGTGTTTATCTCAACTAGCTGAGTCATGTTAGACGTGTTTATCTCTACTAGCTGAGTCATGTTAGACGTGTTTATCTCAACAAGCTGAGTCATGTTAGACGTGTTTATCTCAACAAGCTGAGTCATGTTAGACGTGTTTATCTCAACAAGCTGAGTCATGTTAGACGTGTTTATCTCTACTAGCTGAGTCATGTTAGACGTGTTTATCTCAACTAGCTGAGTCATGTTAGACGTGTTTATCTCAACTAGCTGAGTCATGTTAGACGTGTTTATCTCTACTAGCTGAGTCATGTTAGACGTGTTTATCTCTACTAGCTGAGTCATGTTAGACGTGTTTATCTCACTAGCTGAGGGTTACTAGCTGAGTCATGTAGAACGTGTTATCTCTACTAGCTGAGTCATGTTAGACGTGTTTATCTCTACTAGCTGAGTCATGTTAGACGTGTTTATCTCTACTAGCTGAGTCATGTTAGACGTGTTTATCTCAACTAGCTGAGTCATGTTAGACGTGTTTATCTCTACTAGCTGAGTCATGTTAGACGTGTTTATCTCTACTAGCTGAGTCATGTTAGACGTGGTTTATCTCTACTAGCTGAGTCATGTTAGACGTGTTTATCTCTACTAGCTGAGTCATGTTAGACGTGTTTATCCTCTACTAGCTGAGTCATTTAGACGTGTTTATCTCTACTAGCTGAGTCATGTTAGACGTGTTTATCCCACTAGCTGAGTCATGTTAGACGTGTTTATCTCTACTAGCTGAGTCATGTTAGACGTGTTTATCTCTACTAGCTGAGTCATGTTAGACTGTGTTTATCTCTACTAGCTGAGTCATGTTAGATGTGTTTATCTCTACTAGCTGAGTCATGTTAGACGTGTTTATCTCTACTAGCTGAGTCATGTTAGATGTGTTTATCTCTACTAGCTGAGTCATGTTAGATGTGTTTATCTCTACTAGCTGAGTCATGTTAGACGTGTTTATCTCTACTAGCTGAGTCATGTTAGACGTGTTTATCTCTACTAGCTGAGTCATGTTAGACGTGTTTATCTCTACTAGCTGAGTCATGTTAGACGTGTTTATCTCTACTAGCTGAGTCATGTTAGACGTGTTATCTCTACTAGCTGAGTCATGTTAGACGTGTTTATCTCTACTAGCTGAGTCATGTTAGACGTGTTTATCTCTACTAGCTGAGTCATGTTAGACGTGTTTATCTCTACTAGCTGAGTCATGTTAGACGTGTTTATCCCTACTAGCTGAGTCATGTTAGACGTGTTTATCTCTACTAGCTGAGTCATGTTAGACGTGTTTATCCCTACTAGCTGAGTCAATGTTAGACGTGTTTTATCTCTAGCTAGCTGAGTCATGTTAGACGTGTTTATCTCTACAAGCTGAGTCATGTTAGACGTGTTTATCTCAACTAGCTGAGTCATGTTAGACGTGTTTATCTCTACTAGCTGAGTCCATGTTAGACGTGTTTATCCCTACTCTGCTGAGTCATGTTAGACGTGTTATCTCTACTAGCTGAGTCATGTTAGACTTGTTTATCTCTACTAGCTGAGTCATGGTAGACGGGTTTATCTCTACTACTGAGTCCATGTTAGACGTGTTTATCTCAACTAGCTGAGTCATGTTAGACGTGTTTATCTCAACTAGCTGAGTCATGTTAGACGTGTTTATCTCAACTTAGCTGAGTCATGTTAGACGTGCTTAGCTCAACTAGCTGAGTCAATGTTAGATGTGTTATATCTTCTACTAGCTGAGTCATGTTAGACGTGTTTTCTCTACTACTAGTGAGTCATGTTAGACGTGTTTATCTCAACTAGCTGAGTCATGTTAGACGTGTTTATCTCTACTAGCTGAGTCATGTTAGACGTGTTTATCTCTACTAGCTGAGTCATGTTAGACGTGTTTATCTCAACTAGCTGAGTCATGTTAGACGTGTTTATCTCAACTAGCTGAGTCATGTTAGACGTGTTTATCTCTACTAGCTGAGTCATGTTAGACGTGTTTATCTCAACTAGCTGAGTCATGTTAGACGTGTTTATCTCTACTAGCTGAGTCATGTTAGACGTGTTTATCTCTACTAGCTGAGTCATGTTAGACGTGTTTATCTCACTAGCTGAGTCATGTTAGAGTGTTTATCTCAACTAGCTGAGTCATGTTAGACGTGTTTATCTCACTAGCTGAGTCATGTTAGACGTGTTTATCTCAACTAGCTGAGTCATGTTAGACGTGTTTATCTCAACTAGCTGAGTCATGTTAGACGTGTTTATCTCTACTAGCTGAGTCATGTTAGACGTGTTTATCTCAACTAGCTGAGTCATGTTAGACGTGTTTATCTCTACTAGCTGAGTCATGTTAGACGTGTTTATCTCAACTAGCTGAGTCATGTTAGACGTGTTTATCTCTACTAGCTGAGTCATGTTAGACGTGTTTATCTCTACTAGCTGAGTCATGTTAGACGTGTTTATCTCTACTAGCTGAGTCATGTTAGACGTGTTTATCTCACTAGCTGAGTCATGTTAGACGTGTTTATCCACTAGCTGAGTCATGTTAGACGTGTTTATCTCTACTAGCTGAGTCATGTTAGACGTGTTTATCTCTACTAGCTGAGTCATGTTAGACGTGTTAACTCCTACTAGCTGAGTCATGTTAGACGTGTTTATCTCAACTAGCTGAGTCATGTTAGACGTGTTTATCTCTACTAGCTGAGTCATGTTAACACGTCTAACATGACTCAGCTAGCTGAGTCATGTTAGACGTGTTCATCTCAACTAGCTGAGTCATGTTAGACGTGTTTATCTCTACCAGCTGAGTCATGTTAGACCGTGTTTATCTCTACATAGCTGAGTCATGTTAGACGTCGTTTATCGCTACAAGCTGCGAGTCATGTTAGACGTGTTTATCTCATACTCAAGCTGAGTCATGTTAGACGTGTTTATCTCTACTAGCTGAGTCATGTTAGACGTGTTTATCGCTACAAGCTAGTCATGTTTAGACGTGTTTATCTCTACTAGATGAGTCCATGTTAGACGTGTTTATCTCAAACTAGCTGAAGTCATGTTAGACGTGTTTATCTCGACTAGCTGAGTCATGTTAGACGTGTTTACTCTCAA